TGGGCTGGTGGGATATTTTCTGCAGCTCTCGACTGTCAGATCCTCTGCTTCCAATCGCAAAGGTCAAAACACCCATCTCTTTGAGAGCAGAGGCTGGTGCATCAACACTGTCAAAGGACCTTCCACCGCTTAACAATATTAAGACCTGTGGAACTCCTTCCAGGCGCCTGCTTCCGGCTGGGGCCGCAAAGACGTTATCCCTCAAGTACTGGAGAGCTGCTCCAGTGTTCAGGGGTCTTCCGCCTTTGTGTCTCAAACCTCTGACGGTGTCGAGGATCTCGCCTTTGGTCGCGTACGTGTTGAGATAGAACTGGACAGATGGCTCTCTGCTGTACTGAACCACCGAGACTCGGTCTTTGCCTTCATCCACACGCAGTGTTTCCACTACTCTTTGGACAAAGTCTCGCATAGCTGGAAAGCCATTTCTTGTACTGTCAGATCCATCCAGCAAGAACACCACATCCTTTCCTGCCAGTTGTCTCACCACTAAGAAACATGAGATGCAGGACATCATTAACTTTCATTGAGGAAAATCTTTCCTAACCTGAAGTAAGTTAAGAAGCGCCAAACTCTGTGTTTCCAATTTACCATGTTTCTGCCGTCACAAATAACGGCTGACCTCAACTTTGTGTAGTCTACGCTAATACAGTTCAAATTGCATCCTATCAAGATCTAAGAGGGTAAGCTGTTTCGCTTACTTACCAGTCACAGTTGGGGTGAAAGGTGTGGCCCTTACTGCCGCTGTGCTCATGACAGAGGAGAGCTGTTCTTGGACACTGGGGAGGTCAGTGAAGTCAGACACAGACAGAGCGTAACTAGGCTCATATGATAACTTCTGAAGCTCTCTAGCGTCAGAGGTCCCGGATCCAATAGCAATCACAAAGACTCCCTGCTGTTTGAGAGCAGAGGCTGGGGCATCTGTGTTGTCGAACGACCTTCCCCCTGTTAGCAGTATCAACATCTGTGGAACACCTTGCAGACGCCTACTCCCGGAGGAGTTTGTAAAGACATTTTCCCTGACGTATTGCAGGGCTGCCCCAGTGTTGAGGGGTCTTCCTCCCTTGTGTCTGAGCCCTCTGACCGCATCCACAGCATCCTCCCTGGTGCTATACGTGTTCAGATAGAAATGGACCTCTGCATCTCTGCTGTACTGGACCACCGACAAGCGGTCTTTGTTTTCTCCCACATTCAGTTTCTCCACCACTCTTTCAACAAAAGCCCGCATGGCGGGGAATCCGTTTCTTGTGCCATCAGAACCATCCAGGAGGAACACAATATCCTTCCTGTCGGTGTCGGCTAAGAAAGACAGGAAGAAGAAAAGTGTAAACTTTTGCTAAAGGTAACCTCAGTGGTTTATTATCAACCTAAAAGCTGTTTTAAAAGACCCTCTGCCCCACCCACTATCGCACGGATAGCCGTCGCGAACACAACTAATCTGCCCCTTTTCACACAAGACCCTCCTGGAGCTCAACAAACACCGCACTCAATTTCTAATCTGGCAGGTGTTTGAAACCAGTCAGCACTTTCCTCCCACCAGAAAGCATCCATGTTTGATGACGTACCAAGTACAGTTGGTGATTCCGGGGTGACGTCAATAACCACAGCCTCCACTGAGGCCTGAAGCTGCTGTTGGACACTGGGAA